AAACATCATTTTGTGGGGATAGAATACATGTAAAAGTGAACCATACAACATAGACCCAAGGGTAACATCCCCTTCTCATGTATTTATTTTGTATCCATTTGAGAAATGTTAGCTACATTTCTTTAGGAGTTTTAAACTTTATATCCTATATTATAATTCTATTCTAACACACACACCGCTTACTGGTGATATGATGATACAAACCTATAATCCCAGCAGTTGTGAAGTTCAAGGTCTTTGGCTATATAGTAAGTTTAGGGCCAGCCTGGACTATGTGAGTCCCTTTATCAAAATGAAAAAGTAGGGCCAGCTAGATGCATGAGCAAGTAAAGGTATTCTGCCAAGCCTGTTAACCTAAGTTAGATGCCCAGAACTCACATAATGGAAGGAGAGAAGAAACAGCTTGAAAGTTGTAGCTCATAACCTCTTCACACATGCCATGACACTCACATGCCCATATATATGTGTACATGCACATATACACACAGACAGGATGCTGAAGAAATGGTTTGGCAGTTAAGAGTGTTTATTGCTTTAACAGTGTACCTGGATTCTACTGCTTTTTTGTTGTTGTTGTTCCTAAATTTTATTTAAGAATTAATACAAAACATTGCAGACTAATGCATCTTTACCTTTGTCCTCTTCGTCCTGGTTAATCTGGAAGTAGCACAGCTCATAGCTTTCTTTGCTGTTGGTAACAACACGCAACTAGTCTCAAAGATTGTTCTTCTTCAGGTATTTCTTGGTGAGATATTTCAAATATCTTTTGGAGAAAGGCATCTCGGATGTGACAGTGATCTCTCTCTTGCTGTGTTTGATAGTCACAGCCCCTCCACCAAGATTATGATTTTAAATTCTCTAAACATCATTGTGCAATTTTTTCTATGAATATACACTCCCCCCCTTTTTTTTTTTTTTTTTTTTTTTTTTGAGACAGAGACAGGGTTTCTCTGTATTGCTTTGGAGCCTGTCCTGGAACTAGCTCTGTTGACCAGGCTGGCCTCGAACTCACTGAGATTCACCTGCCTCTGGGCCGAATGCTGGATTTAAAGGCCTGTGCCACCAATGCATAAATGTGCACTTTTAACTCATTTGGGTAAGTACCAAGGAATATGCTTGCTGAATTATATGGCAAGAATATGTTTAATTTTGTTAGAAGCCAACATCCAATCTTCCAAAGTAGCTATTCTGTTTGCATTCCTACCAGCAATGAATGATTTTCTGAGCTTTCTGTTGTGACAAAATACTTGAGAGAAATAAACTTAAAGGAGGAATTTATTGGCTTCTGCTTTTAGAGTTTGAATGTTTCAATCATGGTCACTTGATCCCATCACTGTAGGCTTTTGAGAGCATTATGATGGGGGTGGCATAATGGAACAGAGCTGTGCACCATTTGGCAGTTGGGAAGCAAAGAGTATGAGGGAAATGGGACAGAGGTAAGATAAAACCAAGTTTGTGATGGTGGTTCATGCCTATAATTTTAGCCCTTTTGAGGATAAACTCAAGTTCAAGGCCAGCTTGGGCTGCAAAACAGTTTCAAACAAATAGTAAGCCAGGCATGATGACAAATACCACTAATGCTTGCATTTTGTAGGTGGAGGCAGAAAGAGTAGGAATTCAGACCATCCTTGGCTATATAGCAAATTCAGACCCTTTCTGGGCTACCTGAAAGCCTATCTCTAAAACAAAACAAAACAAAACAAAACAAAACAAACAAAAAAGAATATAACTTTCAGCCAGGCACAAGCCTTCCTTTAATTGCAGAATTCTGGAAGCAGAGGCAGGGACAGAAAAATTCAAAGTTGGGTGGTGATGTTATACACACACCTTTGATCTCAGCACTCCGGAGACGGAGGCAGGTGGATCTGTGAGTTCGAGGACAGCCTGATCTACAGAGCTAATTCTAGGACATCCAGGACTCTTACACAGAGAAATCTGTCTTGAAAAACAAAACTAAACAAAAAACCAAACCAAAAGAAAGAAAGGGCTGGAAATGTGGCTGCTCAATGAGCATTTACCTAGAATGTGAGAGGGAGGCCCTGAATGCCTAGGTTTAATTCTAACCCTTAAAAAACAAAAACAAAACAAAACAAAACAAAAAACAAGAAATAAAAAAAAAATGTTGAATAAAAAGAGGAATACCCCCACCCCAGGAATGTGTCTGTCCTTGTGTATATGCTGGTACAAGTGGGTCTGAACTCATTATGTACCCAAGGATGACCTGATACTCCTGTCTCTACCTTCCAAGTGCTGCTGATTACATGGCTGTGTCACCATGCCCTGGAAAGGTATATAACTACTTATTTTTATTTTATTTATATATAGAGTTGTTTTGTTCAGACAGGGTTTCTCTGTGTAGTCCTGGCTATTCTGAAATTCACCCTGTAGGCCAGGCTGATCTCAGACTCAGAGATCTGCTGCCCTCTGCCTCCCAGGTACTGGGATTATGAGCTTGCTCCACCACCTCCTGGCTACTCTTATTTTTTAAATTTTGAGACAAGGTCTCACATATCTCAGGCTGGCCTTATGTAGCCAAATCTGGCTTTGATCACCTTATCCTCTTGCCTCCAAGTGCTGGGGGCACAGGCAGGTATTACCATGTTCCGATGAGTTTATTACTTTTTGGTTTATTGAGACAGGGTATCTTTGTGTAGCTCTGGCTGTCCTGGAACTAGTTGTTAGACCAGGCTGGCCTCAAACTCACAGAGATCTGCCTGCCTCTACTTCCTGAGTGCTGGAATTAAAGGTGTGTGCCACTTCCACTGCTTGTCCCAACAAACACTCTTAAACACTCTTCTTACGTTATTTTTTTTATTTTTTTTTTTTCTATAAAGATGCCCCGACCAGCGGGGCCTAGTTATTCATGAATCGAGGTGGGCTAGAACCTGAAAATAATGGGAGAGAAAGAAGGAACGAGACCAAGCAATGCTTGTCAAGGTCTCACTTTATTAGGCACAAAGAGGAGTTTTTAAAGCAAAGCAGGGAGGAAATGGGGAGGGGTAGCTGTGCTGACTCTGGGGCTCTGGTATTGTCCCAGGCCATAAATGTCTGTTTAATCTCAGTTCCTGGTGTCTTGGTTCATCTCAGTTCCTGGGTTGAATGGAACAGACTGCTTTTTTTTTTTTTTTTTTTTTTTTTAGCAGTTTTCTGTTTTACCAAGATAAGGTTCAATTAGAGTTTTAAGGTGTAAGTAATTCTGCAAGAGGATGTGACTCAAGGCCGGCTCCCAACATAAAGATGTACCAAATATATATCATATTAGTTCCCTAGGGTGCTGTAGCAAAGTGCCACAAACTAGCTAGCTTAAAACAAAACAGTTCTGTTCTTTTTTAAAAGACTTTTTAAAAAATGTTTTATTGTTTATACGTTCTTCTGCCTGCATGCCAGAAGAGGGCACCATATCTCATTATAGATGGTGAGCCACCATGTAGTTGCTGGGACTTGAACTCAGCCAGTGCTCTTAATTGCTGAGCCATCTCTCCAGCCCAAAACATAGTTCTTTTCTGATACTTTTGTAGACTGCAAGTCAAAAATCATGGTGTTGGTGGAGCTGAGTTTGCTCTGAAGTCTCTAGGAGAGAATTGGTTCTTGTTTGTCTGTTCTTCCCTGGTGGTGTCAGAAATCCTTATATGTCCTTGGCTTGTAGCTGCATCACTACAGGGTATCTGTTCATCTGTCCTCTACCCATTCTGCATCTATGTTTTTCTCCTTTGTCTAGCATAGTGGCATGCAACATTTAGAGGAGCTGGAAACAGGAGGACCAGAAATTCAAGCATTGCCTACATAGTGAGTTTGAGGCCACCCTAGGCTATGTGTGTCCATCACAAAAATATAAATGTTCTTCCTTCCTTTCTTTCTTCCTCTCCTTTTCTTTCTTTCTTTGTTGTTTTTTGAGACAGGGGTTCTCTGTGTAGCTGTGTAGCCCTGGCTATCCTGGAATATGTTTTGTAGACCAAGATGGCCCTGAAATGTCAGAGATCTGCCTGCCTATACCTCCCAAGTGCTGGGATTAAAGGCAGGCACCACTGATGCCCAATTTCTTTTCTTTTTGTGTAGTACTGTGGGAATGAGTTTAGTATTTGTAAAGATAATCAACATACCAGGAAATAAAATTGGCACAGAGATGTAGGCATATTTGGGGGCTCACATTTTTTTTTTGGCTCATAGTTGTAATCCTAGCACTTGAAAGGTTGAGGTTTGCATAGTGAATTTTATTCCTACCATAACCTTGTCTTTAAAAGAAGAAGAGAAAGGAGAAGGAGAAGAAGAGAAATGTCAATTCATTTGTGCTTGTGACTTCCATTTTCTGTTAGTTCTTCCTTTAAGGCAAATCACAAGGAAGGATAATGCTCCCATGTATCATCTTCCCTAATTTACGGTGGGATCGTCATTGCCAAAGTTAGCAAGTGTTGCTACATAAAAAGAAACAGTGTTCTGCTCTCATCGTATTTATTATCTGCCTTTTAGTGGCAAATGACACTGACATTGTTACTTAATGTTTTCCTTCAGACCCGGCTACAGCCTGGGTTTTCCCCTCCTTTCTGAAGTTGCATCTGTTCTCTTTTTCTAGATCCTCCTGCATTCTGCCCATTTTAAGCTCTGGCTATTGTTCCCCTGATAGAACAGTGGAGGCTCTTCTCATTCTAAGGGATTGCAGTTTTTCATATGCACCAGACGGAGGGTCTATCTTTAGAAAAAGATCCAGTCTTGCGACTTTAAGACGAACGCAGAAAAGGGCAAATATTAGAGAATGGGGCTCTATAGAACCACCCCGCCCAGCTGAGCCAGGTAGTAGCCGGTAGTGCTCAGTCCCGCCTCCTTTCTCACAAGGAGCGTGCGCGACTGGAGACCTGTACAGCCAACCAGTGAGAAGGACTGGTCATGAATGGCATGATCTTGACCCAATCAGAGGAGAGTATGGGAGAAGGCCGCCCCCTTCCAGATCAATGTGGGCGGGGCTCGGGTGGAGATGACGGTCATCTGATCTGCAGCGGCCTCGGAGACCCAGGCGCTAAAGGCTGAGGCTATGATGGCGGCCCCAGTGGTATCTCAGATGCGGACAGGGACACGGTTCGTCCCAGTCCTATGGCTGCATCTGTCGTTGGCGGCAGTGGCAGCGGCAATGGCCGCGGAGCAGCAGGTGCCCCTGGTACTGTGGTCGAGTGACCGGTGAGCAGGTCGGGCCAGGTCGGGTTGGGCTGGGCCGGGCCGAGTTGAGTGGAGCCAGGTTGGGTTTAGGAGGGCTGTGCTGTGTGGCGCGGTGAATGAGTCGCCTTCGCTGAACTCCTGGGCTGTCCTTGACCGGGTTTCGAGGCCCAGAGGGAGACTATGTCTTACTCAGGGCCTTGCTCCATGATGGCCAGTTTTCAGCTCCGGGGGGCCTACGTGAAGCAGGGAGCCCATGGACTTGGATGGATCTCAAGCCACGCAATCACAGCTGATGGTGAATCTTCTGTCCACTTCTAGGGATCTGTGGGCTCCTATGGCCGACAGACATGAGGGCCATATTACCAGCGATATGCAGCTTTCTACTTACTTAGACCCAGCCCTGGAGCTGGGCCCTCGCAATATACTGTTGTTCCTGCAGGACAAGGTGAGCCTACCCCAGTCTGCTATGTCTTTGTCATGGGAAAGCAGACCTCACCCCATCCTCACTGCCATTTCCCAGGTGAAGCTGTGGTGATTTTGTTCCACCTGTAGGCAGGTGTGGCTAGATTTTCTTCAAGACCTGTACGAGATGCTTCAGTGGGGTCAGGAGACCCATGGAAATGTCAGGAACTTGATTTAAGGAAGCAAGGGGTCACATATCAGATAATAACCTATTACTAAACATTATTTTCTGGTGTACTATAGCATGGTGGGAATTATCACTCAGTTTTGCAGATGAGAAGATTCACTTTTGGGGAAGATCAGTGTGACTTTCCCAATAGCTAATGGTTGCCAGAACTGTAATTTTTACTGTCACAATTGTAATAGGAGTAATTGGAAAATGATCCCTTATTTATCCTTTTATTTGTACTGTTCTCAAGTGATATCATTTTCTTGGTTTAACTGTTAAGGAAAGTAATGCTGATGAGGTAAAATGACTTGCTGAAGGTCCAGATTTGGTATCAGTCCTATCCCCCAGTTTTGTGCTGAGCCAGCATTCTATTTTCCTTTCACTCCAGGTGTTTGCATCCAGAGCAGGAGTATGGACTATGAGAAGGTTCTAGCTCAGCATAAGATTATTGTTCAGGAGGATGTCAAGTCTATGCTTGTCCCTTTCCCTGTAGTGGCCTGCTTGACTCATTTTGTTTGTGGCCTCCCTCTGTTGCTGTGTCTGCTGCTGGTAGTGATTATATTAGTCAATAGTCTTTTTGAAAGGTAGTAAATAACAGGTCAGAGTGGAACTCAGTCTTACCACCTGTTTCAGCCTTGAGGAACATGGAATAATCTTTGTAAACCATAGTTTCTACAGGTGTAAAATGAAAATGGCTACCTATATCAGGGGAGTGAGAGAAATAATCTACATAAATCCTCTAGCCACAGTCTCCCAATCTTAGGGTATTTCTTTCTTTTGCCAATGATAGAGTGCTTAGTTTGTGTTAGAAGTAGACATTCTTGTGAAGTCAAGTGGTTAAGAGCTAAATTTGAAGCCAGGTGCATGCCTGTAATCCCACAACTCGGGAGGCAGAGATAGGCAGATCTCAGAGAGTTTGAAGCCAGCCAGTTCTATAAAGCAAGTTCCACAGCTGTTATACTGAGAAACCCTGTCTCAAAAGAGCCCAGTGTTGGTGGTACAAGTCTTTAATCCCAGCACTCGGGAGGAAGAGGCAGAGGTAGCAGGATCTCAATGAGTTCAAAGCCTGGAGCAAGTTCCAGGACAGCCAGGACTATTACACAGAGAAACCCTTTCTCTAAAAACTAAAAAAAAAGGGGGGAAGGGGCTGGAGAGATGTCTCAGATGTTAAGAGCACTGGTTGATCTTTCAGATGTCCTGAGTTCAATTCCCAGCAACCAAATGGTGGCTCAATAGTCTCCTAATCATCTGTAATGAGGTTTGGTTCCCTCTTCTGGCTTGTAGGCATACATGCAGGCAGAACACTATACATAATAAATAAGTAAAATTTTAAAAATAAACTGAAAAAAAGAGCTAAATTGGTATGTGATATGCTGTCAATCCTTTACAGAAAGAATCAGGCTAAGGCAACACAATAACAAAGGACACTGTTTTAAATATCAGTATGATTAGGCAGGGTCTCAGTAGGTTATATCTTGTTAGCAGGAGGGAGTCATGTGCCTTTTGAGGAGGGACATTACTGGCAGGAAAATAGCAGGTATAGATGCTCTGGGCAAGAGAGTGCTCTTAGAAAGTTCAAGGGAGTGGAACCTAGTGAGTGATTGAAACGACAGGAAATGATCTTCCAGGTCACTTAGAGATGGTGCCACAGGGGCAAAGATTGGTGGTAGTTCTGAGTATAACAAAGCCTTGTATATATAGTACAGAGTATAGGAGAGTATAGGAGAGGAGGCTAGGAAAGGAGGCTGGGCTTATGTATACTAAACACAATGAGTTTAGGGAAGCTGGTTAAGATTACCTTTGGGCCTAACTAGGAAAAGCCAGAGGAAGCTAGCTGGGGGATGAAGGGAGGAGGGCTAAGATACTTGTAGATTGTAGAGGGAAGGGCATGGGATTGGAGTTAATGGGGTCCTGGGAGCTCAGAAGTTCCAGTTTCCTCCATTCTTTTCCAATATTTTCCTCTCTCCTAACTCCCACCAACATTGTTGGGACAAAGACTTCTTCCCTTGAAAAGGATCCTGTCCAGACTGGTCATAGATGTTCTCCTTTGCTCTGACTTCTACTTCCCTCTTAGGAGGCATGTAATAAATGTTCTTTGCTGTCATCTTCCTCTTTTCACCTTCCCTCCTCCACAGTTCTTGCTGGCTGACTCTTGCTTTATAGGTTATCATAAGCTAACTTTCCATAGATTTCCAACCCCATGACCACCTTCAGTGCCTTGTCACCCTGCCCTCAGAGTGCTGGGGAGGAAAGAGTGAGCCTTCCACTCACTCCCACCACAAGTTCAGGTGGTTTACTCTCCTCCTCCATGCCGAATATGACTTATAATGTATATTTAGCCCTGAGGATCCCCCCTTAGTCCTTGTTCATTGCCCAGCCCTCCTGGTGACATCTCTTCTACTTCTCTTTTAGCTAAGCATTGAGGATTTCACAGCATACGGTGGTGTGTTTGGAAATAAGCAGGATAGTGCCTTTTCTAACCTGGAGGTAAGGGTTTGCTCACAGCCCCAGCTAAGAAATACATTCTGTGCTCTCTTTCCCATAGAGAATACCAGAGACTTTGAGGGTATGTGAGTGTCAGATGTGGGACATATACTTTCTGACCAATTGTGACATCCCTGTGGGGTGTGGCTTTCCAGGCAAGGTTTGTTGGAGTTATTAGGCTCATTGTTCCCTGGCTTATTTTGCCTTTGACCTCTCTCCTACCATCAGAATGCCCTGGATATGGCCCCCTCCTCACTGGTGCTTCCTGCTGTGGACTGGTATGCAGTCAGCACTCTGACCACCTACCTGCAGGAGAAGCTTGGGGCTAGTCCCCTGCATGTGGATCTAGCTACTCTAAAGGAGCTGAAGCTCAATGCCAGCCTCCCTGCCCTGCTGCTCATCCATCTGCCCTACACAGCCAGGTACAGCCTGGGTGGCACGCCTCCAGCCTTGCACTTTTCAAGATATGGGTAAGGTCCTGGGCTCTGAGCATTGGTGGCAGAGTTGAGTCAACATGACAATATTCTCCTATTCACCACCTTGGGACTCTTCCAGAAAGATCCTTGAAGAGACAGGAAGGACTTCCTCTTAGGCTGTGACTTACAAGTATCCACCACTGAGTTATGCCTGTTGGGCCTCCAAAAATGAGGTAGACATGGTCCCTACTTGTAGAAAACCTCTTCACCCAATGAGGCCCTCTTTATTAAAATGGTAGACAGGGACTGTACTTGCAAAGTGGTGAAAGGGGAATGGAATTCCAGGCATGGGTAATGAAGCAAATAGAGGTATGGGGAGGGCTAGCTGCTCTGAGCTGGGCATCTGCATGGCTGTCGGGGCAGCAGCTGAAGTGCACAGGCTTGGTGAGTGGGGATAGCAGGGAACGAGGTGCTGGAAGGGTTGAGAGAAAGGTAGTGAGCTTCAGAGAACTGTTCTATGCAAGCTGTTTGGATTTGAGGGAAGAGCAACCTGAGGGCCTCTCACTTTCTTATCCATAGCTCCGGTCTGATGGCTCCAAGGGAGGTCCTCACAGGCAACGGTGAGTGTGGTCCCAGAAGACTTAGCTCCTCATCTTGACTTTGGGCCAGAAAAATAGAACTGGTTTCTCCTAACTACAAGGGTGGCCCCCTGTTTTTTCAGAGTAGCTGACAGCTGAGCAGGTACATAATGGCTGGCTGGCCGGCCATGTTTTACAGCCAGCTTCACCTGACAGAAGTGCCTTATGACCCCCTGTGCAAGAACCCTGGAATCTAGTTTCTGCACAGGTCTAAAAAAAATCTATGGATTTAATAGACCAGTTGCCACACCAGCCCCAGTAGAGACAGTGTAGCAATGGCTGAGAGAAATCTCAATGGCTACCTGTCCAGAGGTTCGCACCACACATGGTTACGCCTCCTGGGGAAAAGTGGTTCAGGACCCTGTAGGTGATTGCCCGACTGACAGTCTGGAACGTGTGCTAGGTGTTTGTTGTGCTATGATAGCTATAATGCTTTTGATCATGGGTGCTTTCGCCTATAGCTCCACTGTTAATTCAGAGAAGCCCAGGAAACACTTAGATATAGTTTCAGGGACAGAAAGAGATACAGACAAGCCCTCAGCTACAAATCCCAGGGTGCCAGTGGAGACTTCAGGTGTCAGCCCAAGGCCTAATAAATTAACATACCTAAAGCTATAGGAATTTGCCCACAAGATGACCCTGCCTAATTAGCCCGCCAGCAGAAAAGCTGTTGTGGGGATTTACTACTAAGATTTTAGGGCCCCTAAATCAATAAAACAGCACAAGTGTTCTTATCAATGCTGTTAAAAGTTTACTGACTAGAGACAATGATTATTCTCTAAACTCAGTAAATCAAATCCCTGGTAAGCTGATCACAAGCAGGCCTAAATAAACAGAGGTTCCCAGCTACACAGTTGCTTAGATGTATTTACGATCTCATGCTCCAAAGTAATTGCTGACATTTCTATAGTATGTCTGTAAATTTTAAACTGTGGCCAAAGATCTGTTCCTTGAACTTTCTGCATAAAAACCTGATGCTCTGAAGTAAAAATCGCAGCAGTTGCAAACCTCCTCAAGTGTGTTTGTGTCTGTCAAGCCGAAGCCACTCCTGACCTGTTCATCCGAGTCTTGGTATCCCCACAGACCCATCGCCCACTGAAAGGTCTGAGGCAACCAGTAACATTATGCAAGACAATTAGGAGGGCTTGTCTGTGTAGTAAATGACAGTCTATCTGCATGGAAAAGAAATTAGGTAGATATGGAGTTCTCTATATCACTGTATATTTTGTTTCTCTGAGGCCACAGTTGTCTCCAACAGGAGGGTAGGAGCAGAAATAGCTGGGTTTAGGGGTCTTCAGTGGAAACCAACAGCACTGATTTTTCTCAAGGTCTAGAAGGTCTTTAAAGCAGACAGTGTGGAGTATTTATTTAAGCGTGCTAACTGGTGACTTGGCTCTCTGCTCTCCTGTCATGCTTCAGATGAAGTCATTGGACAGGTACTGAGCACACTGAAGTCTGAAGATGTTCCTTACACCGCAGCTCTTACTGCAGTCCGCCCTTCTAGAGTACGTACTCTTCTACTTTTCTAGCAGGGTCCCTGGGGCATGGGGTTGTGAGGTTTTTGGTGAGTGTGCCTGGAAATGAAAGGGTATGTCACAAGCAGGGCCTCCCATGAGTCCTTAGCTTGGGAGATTAGTTCGCAAAGGATTGCTTCCTCTATACACAGGGACTTTTTTTTCCATCTTGCTTGTGAGCCACTCGGGCAGTGTTCATGCAATTTGCTATAAGTGATCATAAGTTTATGGAGATGGGAACATCAGGGCTAGGGACTTTCAGATGGTGTACAGGATACCCAGGGGGAAGGAAGACGATTACAACGGATTAGGCTTTGTTTTTAGAGCTTGTTGGATATTTCTGCAGGTAGCCCGTGATGTACCCGTGGTGGCTGGGGGTCTAGGTCGCCAGCTGCTTCAGACTCAGGTGGCTTCACATGTGATCCATCCTCCTGTGAGTTACAATGACACTGCTCCAAGGATCCTGTTCTGGGCACAAAACTTCTCTGTGGCATACAAAGACGAGTGGAAAGACTTGACTTCCCTCACCTTTGGTGTGGAGAATCTTAACTTGACTGGCTCCTTCTGGAACGACTCCTTTGCCATGTAAGGATACTAGGCAGGGAAGGAAGAACTGTGTTATCACATATGGCCTTCTTGCCACTGTGAGTCCAGTATAGGGTAAGGATGTAGGATCAGGTGTGTATATGTTGGGAGTGAAGAAGGTCTTTGTGTGGTATGTTCACCAAGGGGTTAAAGATAGTATCATGGGGTGATGTTTGAGGGGTTATTGGAGAGGGAGCCTCTCACAAGTTTGCCTTCCCATACATTTCAGGCTTTGGTTGTTGGGCTCTGGGTTATTACCATCACACAGTCCCTTGGGACCCTGCCCCTTCTTTGAACTCAACCCCTGGGACTGCAAATAGCAGACCAGCTGCCAAAACCAGTTCTAGGCTTCCTATCCATGAGGACTCAGCAGACATGTAAATGACCTTAAGAAGGGGCTGAAAGAGGCCCAGGATACTCAGCAGAAACCAGGGGAAGTAATCCTAAGCTGGAGATGTGGAACCTAGGTGCTGATCCCCCAACTGTTCTTGATTTGGTTATGACTGGAGTTTTAGTTTTCCCATCTGCTAAATGGGGACTGTATTGGCAGGTGACTGTAAGGATGGATCTAGGGCAGCTTAGGCTGGACCCAATCAGAGGAGGACCTTGCTCTAGGTTCTTCTAGAGCCTGACAGCACCCCTCTGCCTTGCCCCACAGGCTTTCACTGACCTATGAACCACTCTTTGGTGCAACAGTGACATTCAGGTAAGTTCTGGTGACTGAAGTGTGGCTGATTTGGTATGTCTCCATGGTCTTCTGTTCATCTGACACCTCTGCTACCCTGAACTTCCAGGTTCATTCTGGCTAGTCGCTTCTACCCAGTGTCTGCCCGATACTGGTTTACTATGGAACGACTTGAAATCCACAGAAATGGCTCTGTTGCCCATTTCAATGTTTCCCAAGTCACAGGACCCAGCATCTATTCTTTCCACTGTGAGTATGTCAGCAGTCTGAGCAAGAAAGGCAGTCTCCTTGTGACCAACGAGCCCTCACTCTGGCAGATGACTCTTCATGACTTTCAGGTATTGAAGGGGGGGGGGGGGTGGGCTCCAAGCTGGTGGCAGTAGGGGGAGGGAAGAAGGGCCCAGAGAAGCTGAAATTTCTATCCTTGTGCTGTCTCTGAAGGTCTAGACTATTCACTGATTGTAGAACCCCAGCCCTTACTGTCTGTAGAGACTTGTGGTCCCCTCTGATCCATGTCTATGTGTCTCCTAGATCCAGGCCTTCAACGTGACGGGTGAGCAGTTCTCCTATGCTAGCGACTGTGCTGGCTTCTTCTCCCCAGGCATCTGGATGGGGCTGCTCACCACCCTCTTCATGCTTTTCATCTTTACCTACGGCCTGCACATGATACTCAGCCTCAAGACCATGGATCGTTTTGATGACCACAAGGGCCCCACCATCACTTTGACACAGATTGTGTGACCTGTGCCAGAGAGGGATTGAGGGAGTATTGGTGTATAGGTTGTCATGTTTCCACCTTCTGGCATAATGGATAGAAGGGTTTGTCCTCTTCCTGTTAATAGCATGAACCCTACACTACCCTCAGCCTGTCTTGCTTCTTCTCAACCTGCTGAGGGACTGACTTCCTTGGGGGCTATCCCCCACTTCTACCAACAAAGTGTATATATTATTCATAGATATTAGACAAATCTTCCAGGCTCCATCATCATGAGGGGAAGGAACATTAATTTTATGGTTCCCTTTCCCCCTTAATTTATTCTTGCCCCTCCACTACTATCCCTTGTTGTTTATAGTACTTCTGTGTAGTTAATGCTCACTCCCCAAGCTTTATGAAGCTACCAGCAACAGCAATGAACTTGAGGTTCCTTGAGTTTGAGAAGTATGGAAAGTCTACTCAACTGACCAGTGTGGCTGTTGTGTTTTATGGGTGATGTGTTAAGAATGATCTATACACTAGGGTTTATTTCTGTAGCCTGAGAAGGAAGAGACCTCCATGAGGCTTGTTCCCACTAGGATTGCCTGTCAAGAGGCGTGGGTGGGGGGGTGCTCCTTTGTTTCCCTTCCTAATAAAATAAAGACGTGTTGCCATGTGTTGGGCCTTGGCTTTTAGTCACTCATTTCTGCACTTGACAGTAGATTTGTTCTTGGCTAAGGGGAAGAAGTGCCCAGGTGTAGTCCAGTCAGGCAGGAGGTAAGAGGGGGAGGGTGGGAGAGTCTTCAGCAAGCTGATATTCTTAAGGAGTTAAGGTAGAAGCCTGTTATTTCTCCTGGCCTTGGGGAGAGTCTTGACAATGGCAGCTCTCTGCAAAGACACCGGCAGCTGCAAATACCATAGGGCCTTGCTGTTTTTCCCAGAGGGGCGGTACTGGAGCGCACGGGGAGGGGAGGGGAGGAACGGGGCGGGGCGCGCGCGGCTCCCGCGCATGGATCCTTCTCGGGACGCAGCACCTGCCGCGGACTTGCCCCGCCCTGTATTTCTGTGGGCTTACGAAGATCTTAGTTGCCTCCGGAGTCATGCTGGTGCTGAGACTCAGGCACCGGAAGCCCTTCGAGAAAATAAGCAGAGGAAACGGTGCCTTCGATAGGGCGTGGCAGGGCCCGAGGAGGGAGAGGGACTCTTTGACGCAGCGGAGGGATCTTGAGACGACTGATAGCCGCCATCTTTAGTTCAGTGCGGCGGCAAAGGCAGAGGCAGTGACTGCTGTGGTGAAAGAGGAGGAGGAGCTGAACGGGCGTTGGTACCAAGGCCTGACCATGGATGAGGAATACGATGTGATAGTACTGGGGACAGGTCTTACAGTAAGTGTCACCCCAGGTGTTCATATCCCTGTATCATGCCTTTCCCATCCTCATGGTGATGCAGAGCCCTGGCCACCGGTCTCATTCTCCCATCATTGCGTTCCTGGCTATGGTCCTGGCAAAGCCAACCCCGCTCCCACCCTACTACCTCACCCTAGGATGTCGACTCGACTGCTGTGCCATGTCCTTGGCTCCCCGTAGAGGGCCCTCTTTCACCCTGTACCCCTGCATCCTAGGACCCCTTCATCGTCCCTATCTGTGTCACCGAGGTGGAAAACCGCCTCCTTCCCCCACTGGACCGGTTACACCCAGCCCCCACCTTTCGCCTGCACTCATCACCGGCTTAGCATCCTTGATTAGCATCCCTTACCATTGTGGTGATCACACTAGGGCGTGGAGTATAAAGGTATGGGTATGGGGGTATTTCAGGGGTGGACTCTCATCCTGCTTTTCTGCCTTTTGGGAGGGTACGGGAACCCAGAGAATGTTCCAGAAGCAGTGGCAGTGGGGGTAGTTACGACATTCCCTCTACACCAACCCACTTTCCCATGGAGATCTCAGGCTGACTATATCATCAGCCTTTGTCCTTGGGCTAGTGACAGTGAGTGGTGACGGTGGGGTGTTTGTCTTAGTCCCGTCCTCTAAATCTTGTTGGTTTGCATCCTGAGTCTGGACCGGTAGATAAAGCCAGAGGGTTAGGGGCTCCTGCCCTTTGATGGAGGAGAAGCTCAGGGTGGGGCCTGGGTTTTCAAGTACTGGGCTTCCCTTTTAAAGACACTTTGAATTGGTTCTTCTCCAGACTCGTTACCATTTAGTGGGCTCAGAGTGTAGATACTTACTTGGCTTGTGGGTGCTAGAAGACTGTCCTTAGTTCTGCTGGAAGCTCTGCCTCCCTAAGCCTCATTTAATGCTCTAGTAGTTCACTGTTTTGCCCAACAGGGTTATAAAGGAAATAGCATATGAAGCCATTTTCCCTCTCCTCAGTTTTAGGTGCTACAAGAGCCAGGGCTTTATGTTATGAAATTTGTGTCAGGTTTGAGTCAGGGACAAATCAGGCATGCAGGTCAGAAGGCAGATGGGAGTGTAGCTGCAAATGCCACCCATCCCCCAGGAATGCATCTTGTCTGGCATCATGTCTGTGAATGGAAAGAAGGTGCTGCACATGGACCGGAACCCTTATTATGGGGGTGAGAGCTCTTCCATCACACCCCTGGAGGAGGTAAGGCTTCTTAGACCTGGGCTTAGACCTAGACCCCTTGTTAGTCTTTCATATAGGAGCATGGGGTCAAAGTAGTTCCGGGGTGCTGGGCAGGAGAATGGGAGAGGGATGGGTGGTCCTTGACATTTTTCTTTCTTCCTGTCCTGTTTACAGCTATATAAACGCTTTCAGTTGCTGGAAGGGCCCCCTGAGTCAATGGGCCGGGGCCGAGACTGGAATGTTGACTTGATCCCCAAATTTCTCATGGCCAATGGTGAGGGAGATTAATAAGATAATGAATATGGTGATTGGTGGGTGGTAGTGATTGGGAAGACCAGGCAGGAGGGTCAATCTCCAGAATAAGGCCAGTCAGACAACTGAGTTTTGAAGGAAGCTATACTGATATCCCTAATTCTCTCTGGACACAGGTCAGCTGGTAAAAATGCTACTGTATACAGAAGTGACTCGTTATCTGGACTTCAAGGTGGTAGAGGGCAGCTTTGTATACAAGGGAGGCAAGATCTACAAAGTACCATCCACTGAGACTGAGGCCTTGGCTTCTAGTAAGTATGAGTCTCCTTAGCCAGAGAATAATGGGACAAGAGGAAGCAGACTATTCTCAAGATAGTTATGCAAAAGACTCCCATTTGCCTAAGCCTAATCTTAGTTCCATGTAGTCCCAGAGCCCCCTTGCTTTATAGTATCTTTATTGTACTGTGCTACCCATCCTGGCAAGTTACCAGAAAGGAATCTCATGGAGGAGGATTTTTTTCTTGGTAGAGGGCCTACTTGGCCCCCATAACATCCCCAAGTGGAGCTGGGAGTGCCTCTTCCTACAGATAGGAAAACCATGGCCAAGAAGGGTGGGACAGGGTTACACGACTGAGCTCTGGTGGGAGCCAGGACACCAACTTTCCTGTCCTGCTCTGGTGGAAAGAGGAGTTTTATGTCCCAGGAATACAAAAAACATCTTTTCAATACCCCTCCTTCAGATCTGATGGGCATGTTTGAAAAACGACGCTTCCGAAAATTCCTGGTGTTTGTGGCAAACTTTGATGAGAATGACCCCAAAACCTTTGAGGGTGTCGACCCTCAGACCACCAGCATGCGTGATGTCTACCGGAAGTTTGATCTGGGCCAAGATGTCATTGATTTCACTGGCCATGCCTTGGCGCTCTACCGAACTGATGAGTGAGGGGAAAGCTAGCTGGTGGCAGGAGCCTCTTTGTCTGGCTCACACCTTACCCTCCCCACCCACAGCTACCTATTGTATCCACTGCCCACCCTGCATATCCCTTGTATTTGTCTATAAGCTCACCTGTTGCATTTCCATCCCTCTCTTCCATTTGACTCAATCTTTGTCAGTTCATAAAGGGTGGTGGGAAGGGTGGATGGTGTCTTTGAATGTTAGTGGAGTGCTGCTGTCAAAGCATCTTCTCTTGTCCCCCAGTTACCTGGATCAGCCCTGTCTTGAGACTATTAACCGCATCAAGTTGTACAGTGAGTCATTGGCCCGGTATGGCAAGAGTCCATATTTGTACCCACTCTATGGCCTGGGTGAGCTGCCTCAGGGCTTTGCAAGGTGAGGACCCTTTTTTTTCAAGGAGGAATTGCTGGGTATCACTAAGGCCAATAAGCCTGGTGGTGGTATTTTACCCCTGTAATCCCAGTGTTTGGGAAGCAGAGGCAGGCAGATCTCTGTGAGTTCCAGACCAGGATGGTCTACACAGTGGGTTCTAGGATAGCCAAGGCTACATAAAGAAGCAATGTCTTGAAAAACCAAAATAAAATGAAATCAATGAAAGGCCAAGAATGGAAATTACCTCCTTGAGCATTTTTGTGGCATTTCCTACTTTCCCATCTAAACTTCATGTACATTGTTCCATCCCTGGGTAATGGGGGCACAGCCTTAGTGTGGAGTAAAGGTGGAGAGTTGGCTCAGCCGATAAGAGCGCGTGTTTTTACAGGGGACCCAGGTTTGATTCCAACACCCACATGGTGGCTCACAACTGTCCATAACTCCAGTTTTAGGGAATCCTAACACCCTCATCTGACTTCCATAGGTACCAAGCATGTATGTGGTCTACAGACATATGCAAACAAAACACATACACATAAAATAGTGAATATTAAATATATACACTTAAAAAGTAAATGAAATACAAAGTAAAGGACCAGATGTCCATGAAAATAGCTTTCCCAGATCCTGGTAGCACCCGGACTAAGTCTGTAGGATACCAGAAGCTTGAATCTGAGTTTCCCTGGAAGCTGGCTCTTTGCCAGAGAATCCTTTATTCGATTCCTGAGTCATTTCTATGTGAAGCTACACTCACTGGACCTTTGCAGAATAGAATATTCTGGATGGAAACTCCAGAGAGAAAGAGTATGCCAAGATGGGCCCTAAGTTCATCTGAAAGAGTTGGAGTTAAATTCTGTCTACCTGAGCAGTTTTCTCTGTCTCTCTGGTAAGGTGGAGAGAGTACAGTAGATTTGGTCCTTAATCTCCTAAGAAGACTTCTCCATCATTTTCCTTACTACAGATTGAGTGCCATATATGGGGGAACATATATGCTGAACAAACCTGTGGATGACATCATCATGGAGAATGGCAAGGTGGTGGGTGTGAAATCTGAGGGAGAGGTAAGCATATCCTGTACATTTGTTACCATGACTTGGTTAAGGTTTGGACTTTTTTAGGGCTATGTTCATAGGGAGCATTATTGCTGGTGAGTTTGCTGTTTGATTAACCCTGAGAGCCTCATAGCTGGGAACTGGGTGGTCAATAAAAGTCTACATAGCTACTTCTGTTGGCAAGAAGTATCTTTTAAGGGCTAGAGAGGTGGCTCAGCAGTTAAGAGCACTAGCTGCTCTTGTAGAGATCCTGAGTTCAATTCCCAGTAACCACATGAAGGCTCACCACTGTCTGAAATGAGATCTGGTGCCCTCTTCTGGCCTGCAGGCATGTAAGCAGAACACTGTATACATAGTAAATAAATAAATCTTTTTTAAAAAACTATCCTTCAAATTGCCAGATGTGGTGGTACATACCTGTAATCCCAGTACTTGCAAGGCAGAGGCAGATAGATTTAAATCAATCAAGAAGTAACTTTCAGAAGTCATATGCTATGTCTGTAGTTCCGAAAGCATTCTTTTGGAAAGGGTGTCATGTATCCCAGGCTGGCCTCAAATAGTCTATATAGGTGAGGATGAACACTTGATCCTTGTGCTTCCACCTTCTTCATGCTGGGATTACAGGTGTGTGTCAACATACCTGGTTTATGCAGTGCTAGAAATCTAACCCAGGGTTTTATGCATAATAGGCAAGTGTCATACCAACTGAGATACATACTCCCTGCCCCTCCACAAAAACAAAAAATTCTTCAGCCTGGTGTGGTGGGGCATGAACCCTGAGGTGGCTGACAGAGGATAGACTCAAACAAAATCCTCATCAATAGCAAAAATGTGTGATCATTGTGTTTTAGCAGTAGGGTTACCTCGCCCTGTATGTGAAGGATCACCTCTGAACTTCAAGGAAGGGATTCTGTTCTATAAGAGGGTCATGATGACACTCAGACCTGCATGGCTTTACTTTTGGCTCAGTTTACTACTACCCAGGGCAAGGGGTAATCTGACAGGTGCAAAGCTTTCTGATGCTTTCACAGGTGGCCCGCTGCAAGCAGCTGATCTGTGACCCGAGCTACATCCCAGACCGTGTACGGAAGGCTGGCCAGGTTATTCGCATCATCTGTATACTCAGCCACCCCATCAAGAACACCAATGATGCCAATTCTTGCCAAATTATCATCCCTCAGAACCAGGTCAACAGGAAGTCAGGTAGGCCTGAGTTCCAATTGACCTGAGGGATTACCTTCTGTTGCTATGTCTCTCTTCTCACAAGACATCTTGGGGCTTTTTGTGACATTTTGTTACAGAATGTGTCTGGGATTGGATGGCCTTCCCTTCTTCATGAGAATTACAGTTTGGATGCTATCTGCATGTTGGGTTGGGGAGGGGCAAGTGGGCCAGATTCCTGTCCAGTTCCTAGGAACTACCTTTTTGTGTGGTCATTTCCCCTGGCACATGTTAACTGAGTGCTTCCTGTGGCCAGATATCTATGTGTGCATGATCTCCTATGCACACAATGTGGCAGCACAAGGCAAATACATCGCCATTGCCAGCACCACCGTGGAGACGGCAGAACCAGAAAAGGAGGTTGAGCCTGCATTGGAGCTGTTGGAACCCATTGACCAGAAGTGAGGGGCTAAGCCAAACTGGGCAGGCTGGGTTGAATATCAGGAATGGGCAAGGCCAGTTGTGAGACTTTAATCTATCTCTTTCTTCCATTTGCCCCTCAGGTTTGTGGCTATCAGTGACTTGTATGAGCCTATTGATGATGGTTCTGAGAGTCAGGTAAGAAACCTGTCCCAATCAGCCCTGGCTGTTGATACCCACCCAAAATCCTCTGCCTTATTTCCCTGAGCCCTGGGGTTTTGTCTATTTACAGGTGTTTTGTTCCTGCTCCTATGATGCCACCACACACTTTGAGACTACTTGCAATGACATCAAAGATATCTACAAACGCATGGCTGGGTCTGCCTTTGATTTTGAGAACATGAAGCGCAAACAGAATGATGTCTTTGGAGAGGCAGATCAGTGATTGCTGACTCCCCTCTTCCAGCCCCTGCTCCCCTTTCCCCAACCTGTATGTCCTTTTATGGGGCAGGGAAGATAGTATGGCTGGGCATCTCTGTTTCCAGCATCTTATGTTTCCCCCCACCACCACATTCTGATCACTCATCTCATTTCTCATTGATTTGATTCACTGACCAAATCTTTAACATTAGCGATGGTTTGGGAGATGGGGGTTGGATAGTATTTTTTTTCTTGGTTCTAGGAAAAGAGGATTCCTGTGTGTGAGCATGTGTGCTCACCAGTGTGTGTGTGTGTGTGTGTGTGTGTGTGTGTGTGTGTGTGTGTGTGTATTTGTGCATGGGCATGTGTATGTGTATATGTACACCCTAATTTTGCTGTTCAGGAAGGAGTGGAGGAAAAGCTGACTGCCCCCACTGTTCTTGCTCCTATGTAGTGGCCTTTGGAGATACCCCATCTTCTCCCCTAACTCTTATGTGTTGGAGAAAAGGGACCCTCCCAGCACAAAATTGCATTCCTCTTCCCCCTTATAATTTATTCTAATTTATTAACTTTGACATACCTGTCTGAGCCCTTATCCTTTCTGTGTAGCGTGGCCTCTCCCAATCCTGGCAGAGTCTGGGTTTAGGTGTGGTCCCCTCTGGGAGTTTTCTATTTTTAATTTCTAGTCTTTGTGTTGTGTTCTCTAAGAAAAAGTAAATGTGAGCAAAGCAGAAGGAGGTAGGAAAGTAGATCCAAACCCCAGTATGCCCTGCCCCATGCCTTTTCCTTTAGTGGTGGGAAACCCTTATCTTGCAAAGTGAATGTGTCCCCTTCCCCAACCTCTAGTGTATTTCAAAGTAAAAACCTCCCAATAAAACTCTTGAAACCTTAGTCTGGATCTTTAGGTTCTTTTCTGAAACGTTGTTGAGCTTTGCAGGACTGGATCAATTTAGCTTCTGGAATTAGAACTATATCCTCAAGGGTTAAGGCAGGTGAAGTAGGTACATCAAAAGCTGCTGTTAGGTGGGGTCATTTTTGTACTGTGGTTTCTTTTTTCTTTTTGGTATTTTGAGACAAGGTTTCTCTGTAATAGTTCTGGCTGCCCTGGAACACACTCTGTAAAGCAGGCTGGCCTCAGAGATCAGTTTGCCTCTGCCTCCCAAATGCTGGGATTAAAGATGTACAATTGGGGCTGGAGAGGCGGCTCAGAGGTTAAGAGTACTGGCTGCTCAGCCCTGCAGTGGTGCCACACCTTTAGTCCCAGCACTTGGGAGGCAGAGGCAGGTGGATCTCTGAGTTTGAGGCCAGCCTGGTCTACAGAGTGAGTTCCAGGACAGACTCCAAAGCTACACAGAGAAATCCTGCCTCAAAAAGACAACAACAATAAAGTACTGGCTGCTCTTCCAGAGGTCTGATGACTCAGAACCATCTGTAATGAGATCTGGCAACCTCTTCTGGCCTTCAGGCAGAACACTATACATAATAAATAAATAAATCTTAAAACAAAAAAGATGTGCACAAACACCCCTCAGCTGCACTAGTGGTTTCTAAATCAGAGAAAAGGCATCCTGGTGTGGAGACTGGGTTTTCGGAGGCAGGGCAGCATAGGTGAGATGGCTTACTTAGTAAAGGCACTTTAAAGGCAACCTTGAATTTGATCTTTGGATCCCATGTAAGGGTGGAAGGAGAAAGGCAACTTCACAATATGACTTCTGCACATGTTCCATGACTTGTGCACACACAAACATATACATATATTTAATATTTTATGTGTATGGGTATTTTGCCTAGACCAATGTCCATCACTTGCATGTGTGCTGCCTGAAAAGGCCGGTAGAGGGCGTTGTGAGCTGCTATGTGGGTGCTCAGAATCGAACATAGGTCATCTGGAAGGACCTCCTGTATTACCCATCACTGCCTGAGCCGTCTCTTAAGCCTCATACACAATTTTTCAAGAGAATAGGATCAGGCGCTAGTCTCAGGCCTGGAGACCCATACCTAGCCTTGGATGATAGTAAAAATATCCATGCAACCAACCAAAAGGTGGTGGCTCACGCAAATGCAGAAAGCCCTGTTTCAGAAAAAAAAAAAATCCAAACTGCCAAATAGTGTCAGTCTGTGACCAAATAGGGGAAATACACTTAGCCTCAGAATGAAGGGGGAAACCTGACCAGGAGATGTAGCTGAAAGAACTCCATCAGCCAAGTCAGGGGAGTGTACCACTCAGTGCTCACTCCTGGGGCCAATAAGAGGAAGTAAAAGAACTGGAGGTCTAGCTAAAGACAGCGGTTAACTTTGAGGGCATGCAGGAAGCTAGTGGATATAACTCTGTCACAAAAGATGCAGCAGAAAGAACTGGTTTGTCTACACTCGGTGTGGGAAGGAGCCCAGCCTCCTTTGGGGCGGGGCAACGTGTGATCACGTGCCAGATCCGCGGACGTAAGGCTGGGCTGGCGTCTGTACGTTCCCTGGTGGTTGACGTCACACGTCAGCTGATTAAACGGCCGCTACTGCCGCCAGAACGCTTTCAAGCTTAAGTCGCCACCACTACCACTACCTCTGCCGCCACCACCGCGGCCATCACCGCCACTATGGCTCAGTACAAGGGCGCTGCAAGCGAGGCGGGCCGCGCAATGCATCTGATGAAGAAAAGAGAGAAACAGCGTGAGCAAATGGAGCAGATGAAGCAGAGGATTGCAGAGGTATGGGCCAGGCCGCGGCGCCTCAGAGCGTGCTCAGCGCGAGCGCCCTGGCGATCTCTTTCTAGTTGGCTCTGGGAGACCCTAAGGCGGGATAGGAGTCCTGGGGGCGGGACTTGCTTGCGCATGTCTGGCTGGTTACGGAAGCCGGCTGACACAGTGTAATCTGTAAAATGGGTTCAGTGTTGGGCTGTGTCAGACATTGAGACCACTAGCTTGTGAAAACTTCAGCAGGAAGGAGCTACAGTCAGTGATTCTTGGTAGCATTGATGTTGGGCGAGACACGCTGACACTCCTGAGCAGAGAGCTTCCTAGTTCATGTTTTCAGCCTTCCAGTGAATACAGGAAAGAGCTTGCTTCCTGTGGAGAGGCACAAGGGTATGAACCCTGAAGCTCTTTCAAGGGCCTTTAGCATCTCAGAGTACTTGCACTTCCCTCAGAGGTGCATCAGTGAGTGGTCACTGGATTCAGGGGTGCGGTACCGAGGAGACCTTGGCTTGATCCTTTGGGCAAGACTCCTGAGAAGAGCAGGGTCTTAACTCTCCAGGTGAGAGCAGGCCCTCTCTAGGGAAGTGAGAAGTCAAGCCCAAGAATCAGTCTTAAGATGGAGATATCATCAAACCTCAGTCATGCTTGTATTGACACCCAGTTCTCTAGTTCTGAGCAGCTAGAAGTTGCCCCAGTGGCAGCTAGAAGTATACTTCTGCTGACCACTCATTTGAAGGTCCTGGTCAGAGAAGGAATTACATAGCACCTATTAAGATGGGGCTGGACTGAAGAACAGTGACCTGGATGGCTGCTGACAGTATCCTGGGACATTCTCATGAGGGTGGGGTGTGGGAGCTAGACAGAACCTTTTAATCCCTCTTTTTCATTTATCCTTTCCTGAAGTCCCATGGTTTGGGTTTCAGGAACTTCAGCTTAAAGGCTGGTTAGGAAAAAGGCCAAAGGTGAGTATGGTGTTGGCTGTAGGCTACTGAGGGAATGCTGATCCCCAGCAGAAGACCTGAAGGTGCCAGAGCAGTTTAGGGATGTCAAGGAAAGAATCTACTTTGGCTTCTATATCTCTCCTAGATTCGTGGATCTTCCATTCAGAAAAGGAGGGATGTGTGTGTCTTTTCTAAGATAATATCACAGTGTGTTCAGGCATAGCTCTAGGCTCTGGGATCCACAGCCACTCTTTGACTTCCACAGTGGAATGGTAGATGGATATCTGACTGATGTGTCCCTCCCCTGCAGGAGAATATAATGAAATCCAACATTGACAAGAAGTTTTCTGCACACTATGATGCTGTGGAAGCAGAGCTCAAGTCAAGTACTGTGGGTAAGCAGGATACATGTACACATCTTCCAGACCCACAGGCTACTCCGTCACTGGCCTTGGGTGACCAGCCTTTTCTTCCATGGCTCCTTGCTTCCCAGGTCTTGTCACCCTGAACGACATGAAGGCCAAGCAGGAGGCACTGGTGAAGGAGAGAGAGAAGCAGCTGGCAAAAAAGGAGCAGTCAAAGGAGCTACAGCTGTGGGTCCCCCATCCTCTCTTAGCAGCCCTCCCCTTACAGTGCAGCTAGAGCTTGGGAACTCCTGGGGGTGGGTCAGTCTGTTCCCATTCCCATTCCATAGGGAGACCCCATTTTCTGCTTTGGGAGCAGTTGTGGTGTCTATTGAGCTCCACACTGGTTCTCACTTTCCAGGTTTATCTTTCTTTCTGTTCCTCTGTAAAGGTGGTGAGTCCTTTCTGAGCCCTTTCTTTTTAATGGGTGCCTGAACAGCCTGCATTGTCCCAATTCCTCTCTTGTCTCATGACCCCTGTGTCCTTTATGCTTGGTGTGTCATAATTAGAGCCCTGCCCTTTATCTTGAAGTAAACTAGGGCAAAAAGACTCCCTCTGGGGTGCTGGGAAGATCTAGCTTGTGCTAACTGAACCCCATGCTAGACACACAGTGGTTCTGGGTCAGAGAAGGGGCCTCAAGGCAAGAACATGGGGCATGATGGCCACCCATGCCTTGGTAGGAAGCTAGAGAAGCTGCGAGAGAAGGAGCGCAAGAAGGAAGCCAAGCGGAAGATCTCTAGCCTGTCCTTCACCTTGGAGGAAGAAGAGGAGGGAGGTGAAGAGGAGGAAGAGGTGGCCATGTATGAGGAGGAACTGGAGAGGGAAGGTGAGGGCACTGCCTGCCAGAGCTCTGTCCTGGCACTTAGGCTAACATTTGGGCTGCCAAAGGAAGACACTCATTTTTTAGCTTCAGTCATCTATTGGGCTTTTGCTCCCCAGTTTCACCCAGGGTAGGAGAAGAAGACACAAACGAGGCAGCAAGCACCATTTATTTATTTATTTATTTACTTATTTGGAGACAGGATTTCTCTGTGTAGCTTTGTAGACCAGGCCTGCTTCTGTCTCCCGAGTGCTCTGATTAAATGCATGTACAGTCACAGCCTGGTAAAAGAGCTATTTTAATAGCGAGAGCCACTGTACAAGCACCATATTTTTAAAGCTAAAGTATAAAATTGCTGTCAGTAATAGACTAAGTCACAGGTAGGCCAGTAGCCCCTGTACAAGAGTCACCAGTGCAAGAAGTTACCAGAGTACTACTAGTGCCTGGTCTATAATAATCCAGAAGCTGTCCTTTGGAGCACACAGGATAAACTGAAGAGGGGTGAAGATAGTCGGGATTAGGCTTACCTGCTAAAAATTTCTGAAATAATGGGAATGTTCATAAATACAGGTATTGTGGAGGTTTTTTGTTTGTTTTGTTTTTGATTTTTGAGATAGGGTTTATCTATGTAATGATCCTGACTTGTCTGGAACTCACTTTGTAGGCAAAGCTGGCCTTGAACTCACAGAGATCCACTTGCCTCTGCCTCCCTGAGTGCTGGGATTAAAACATGCCCAACTACTGTCAGGTATTATAATTGCTCACCGCAGGTAGCCACTGGGCACTGATTATGATTGGTGAATTTGATCTATACCTGCTTAAATCCAGTGCCTCCAATGTGCAGTCCTATGTATGTGTATCTGTTCTGTTCCTGGCCAGTCTACACAGTCAATATGGGCTCAGGATGCTCAGGATTCCCCTAGAGCCCAGGGGAAAATGGCTAGATCAGTATGAGAGAAAGACTCACATGGGGAGTCTTTCTTTAGTTGCAGAGATGGGAGGAGATAGGGAGAGCAAATGATGAAGTGAAACAGTTGTA